GGGAGCAGGACCTTCCGGGTACTAATCAGCCCCAAGGCCAAGTGCTCCTTTGTGAGCACCAAACAAGACAGCAGAGCCAGGTTTTTAGACTTTTCCAAAAGTCCAAGAAAGTGGGGTTCTGTGGTGCCTCTGGGGAGAAAATGTTTCAAAGGGCGGGGGCAATTGCACAGAATATTCTCTTCCCGGATTCTGCCAGTTAAGACTGATGGGATCTGGAACATACCATCTCTCCCTCAGCAGGTTAATGCAGTAGGGTGAAGACCATGCTATCCCCATGTAAGGCTTTATAAAAATCAATGCCAATAAAACCAATACCTTGAATTGGACCCAGTAGTAAGCCGGTACCCAGTGTAACTCACACAACAGAGGTGTAACGTGCCCCATCCTTGGGGCGTACAAGATTCTTTACGTGGCCACGTACGGATCTGAATATTTTTCAGGATTAGTCCCATGTAGACCACATTGCAATAGTCGAAATGGGAAAAGACCGAGCAGAGAGCCTCCTTAACCAGGAAAGGCCTAAACTGACATACAACATGAAGTTGTACTTGTCAAAATGGTTTAATAATCTTAAAAGCTGAATCTTCCAAGGTAAACATTGTTAAAAGTACAGCTTGGAGATCTTGCAGCTAAGTGTGAAGCATGCATAGAATGCTCATGTTGCTTTTTATTGATGTGAAAATTTAGTACAGAGATGTAAAATGGTATCTAAATTGCGCTCATTGGGTGGGCTACAAGATCTCACCGGGCTCACAAACGAATTCCCCGAGTTCCATCTTTTTTCATTTAGGAAGGAGAGACCGGATAGCTACGACAGATGAAAATCTTGCTCGACCCTTGTTGGAGAGGGCAAGGATTGAATCTGGGCCTTATACATATAAGAATAGGTGCTTTTCTGTTGAGTCACCCTCTTTCCTTTTGATAAATGTACCAAGTTTCATGTTCTTGCAGGGTGTTTGTGGAATATTACTTGCATCAAGTAATCAAGTAACTTTTTTCACCACAAAGCTTTAATTTATTGAATTAACCATTCCAACCACGGCATCAGAACACTTGGCAGATACAGATCATATCTGTCTTAAAATTCTTGCTTCAATAGAATATTTCTTTCCTTTCTTGTGTCAGGGCCATTAAGTTATATTTTAAGCATTTTCTGTTTTTGTTTTAGGCTGACAGTTAAAAATAACTTATTTATTGTTATAAACATGGAATTAATTTTAATTCATGCACCAGCAGAGTGTCATAGAGTTAATATAGAACACTTCCTTTGTTTTATCTTTTTTCACACAAACAGGAGCATATATACACATGCACATGCATGTACAATGCACATATACTGAAAATACATTACGGGAAATAGATTGTTATATCAGATTTTTCCACTTCAAGTATTTATGGAAATAATTGTGACTAGTGTATACCTATAAACAAAACTCAGGCCTCTTATATGTATATATGTTATAGGTTTACATTATAGAGCAATGATTTTTAGAACAATTTATCANTTGTAAATTGTAGTTATGTTGAAATAAAAAATATATTACAGTACTATTTTTGCGTTGTATGAACAATTTTGTTGCTCCTTATAAAATTTTTAATCAAGCCGCTCCTCCCCCCCAGTCAAAGGTGTCCCTCTTTACCAATCTGAAAATCTGGTCACCTTAAATATGACTGAATTGGTAATCGTGAAATGGATCTACTATACTATGAATTTGCTAATGGTAAACTCTTACTTTATCTGTACCTAACTGGAAATAAAAAATAAAACCTGTTTTGACTTGAGCTGAACTTCATGAAAATGTATTTTTTGTGATTAATAGAGTGGAACTAGATTGTCATTTATGGGCTTCTTCTGGGGATTTCTTTATGGGTTTTATTTCCTTATCAAGTCTACCCCCTGGTGATCTACCATTCAAATACTAGACAGGTCTGATATTCTTTAGCTTATTGAAATCAGTCACAGTCAGCTAGATGGATATAAGTAGCGCTAAAACAGGCCTGAGATTTCATTCAGATGCCTATCACATTAAAAACAACAACACTTGCTTCCAAATTGTTTGTGCAATATAAAAAATATATTAATTTCTAAATGCTTCTTTATAGAGTCATACTACACTTCTGAGTGCACGAATGAGCTTCCATGTGCAAGGACTGGAAATTTATGAGATTAGTTTATTTCAATTGACTGGGAATTTTCTTCCTATTGATTTATTCTACATCTATCCTTCCTTTTCAAAAGTTAACATATTCAAAGCAAGTACTCACGTTCCTTCCTGTGTATTGTAGTTCTAGTGTCAGGCTGAACTCCTGCTGCTGTTGCAATTCAAACAATAAATAATAACAATAAAAAATACAGGAAACAAAATGGAAGTACACTTCTTAAATCAACCACAATGTTATGTACTATACCACATGTTGTATTATACTATTCTTAAACAGGGTCTGTGCTCTGTATAGGCTTGTTCTTTCACTGTAACAAATGTATTCATGATCCATCCTTTTGAATTACCTAGTACTGAAAATCAATCACAGTAATGCTACCCTTCATTTCTCTCCAACAAGGAGATAATACCTATAGTAGGTAATGCTATTTTATATGGATTTTGACAAACCTAAAATAATTTAATGAGGCAATAAGACTACATTGTTGTGCAGCCAGAACAAATAAGTCACCTTGAGGTATTGTTTTACTAAAAAGACTGAGCAACGACTGCTAAGGCAATTCGGCTTGTATTTCGACAGCAGTGCTTCACTGTTTTCATTCCTAACTATTGGGAATTCTATGAGATGTCTCTATTACTTCTTAATGCTTCACAATGATCTATGGCTAGATGAATGATGAATGCCCTCATAAGGAACTGTATATACTATTCAGACATTTCAAGGGGAGGAAAAGAATGAAGTGGACTTGAGCCCATCAATGGTTAAACTATGCAAGAGGACTATTGATAATATTTCCAGAAAATATATGAATTAACCCTTATTGATTCCATTTCTTTACCATACCAGTACAGTAGAAACAATAGAGATTAAAATTAGGTGCAAATTAATGGCTGCTTGCTAAAATTTGGAATGCAGGATGTTAAAGTATTTGCAAGAATAATCTGATGCTAAATATAGAGTGGTGTGGTGGCCTAGAGGTGGAGCTCTCATCTCACAACCAAGAGGGTGTGAGTTCGATTCTAGGTAGAGGCAGATATTTTTCTCTCTGGGCACGCTGAGAATATATCTGCTGAACAAAACTCCACATTGGAATGGCATCCAGCCATTAAAAAACTCTGCTAGCTCAGTTCAGATGCACAGATTATACCCCACAAGGGATTATGGGGTTGTTAAATGATGATGATGATCTGATGCTAAATATAATTTAAAGATGAGGGTAGTGGACATGAGCTTTTCCACTTTAAGAAAAAAAAACTTAGAAATATTGTTTCTCATGTCATGATGCCATGTAAATAGTATATCTTTTTTTAAAAAAGTATTTTGATGTAATAAAAGAGAAATTGAAATATGATCAATGAACACATGTAAAATTGACTAGAATTAGAGTACATTGATCATATTTTATTTCTTATCACATATGGGTTTTCTTTTTTTGATATTATTTTAAAAAGAAATTAAAATTATTTTTAAAAAATTCTTATCACAGATTTTTCTCTAGTCATAATTTTACATGTGAGAGCAGCATAATGGCATAAGCCAAGGTGGCGCAGTGGTTAGGGTGCAGTACTGCAGGCCACTTCAGCTGACTGTTATCTGAGTTCGGCGGTTCAAATCTCACCGGCTCAAGGTTGACTCAGCCTTCCATCCTTCCGAGGTGGGTGAAATGAGGATCCAGACTGTGGGGGCGATATGCTGACTCTGTAAACCGCTTAGAGAGGGCTGA